CATGGCTACGTGCACAGGACAAGAGCTGGTACCGGCAAGGCATGCATGCACTTGTTCCACGCTGGCGTAAAACCGTACAAGTTGATGGGGACTATGTGGAAAAATAGTATGTGTAAAGGAAACATTGATTTATATTGTCACTAAATTTCAGCCATCTTGAATAAATATGTTCTGAGGAAAAAAATGTGGGGCATTACTTAATGAGCGACCCTCGTATTATTGTAATTCAATGTTATTTGTTAAGCTTATACTAAGCAAGCTATTAGCCAGTTACATTCAGATTATACCACGATGGCTTCATCATCTGGGCACATAGGACAGTGATCATAACTCAGGAGAGTTTTTCACAATTAAGATAATTTCAAACTTCATAAGCTTAGAGGGCAGTTCGATGTGATCAATTTCGAAGGCACGATTTGAAAATTCCAGTAATAAACATGGGCAAAGCAAAAGTTATACTTACTTTGTATGGGTGTGTTTCTTGGTTTATCACGTTACGGACATCAAGCTGGTCGATTGATTTTGAGAAAAGTGTGCTGAACAGAGCGTTTGGAACTAAGAGGAATGGAGTAACAGGAGAAAGAAAAATTGCATAACAAGTACCTTCATGATTTTACTGTTCACCGACTGGTATTAGGATGATGAAATAGTCAGATTTAGATGGATCTGACATGTAGTACGCATTAAGGCAATGAGAAATTTACACAAAATTTTAATCCCGAAACCTGAAGAAAAAATCATTTGGCAGACATAAACAAATATGGAAGAATAATATTAAAATGTACTCGTAAATAGTAAGATGTGAGGATGTAGCTCAGGATATGGGACCAGTAGTATAATATTGTGAACAACATAATAAATTAAGATATTTATCTTAGTTGCAGCGCCGTGTACAGTGGAAGTTTACAGACGTTTCGGAGATACTTGCTGCCTCTATCAGGCTACACGGAGCTACAACCCAAAAAAAAGTCGTCTTCATACTCGCTGCGGTGAAAATTTTAACCCTACTTAACAGTGATTTAATTAAACATGAAGCATTCTTGTCTAGATGACTATTATCTCACGAAGAATCAGTCTGCTCAGTTGAATTTTGATTAAGAACATGTGACAACTGCAAGAACATTTAGAGTTGCAACAAAACGTTAACTGAAAGTTAAACCAAGGTCATGTGAGTGACTGAAATCCTGGAGAAGAATAGAACGGAAAAGGCTGGAAGTTAAGGAGGGTTGGGCGTTGGAAGAATAATGTTTATATATAAGGCCTGTCGGAGCTCACTTTCAGCCCTTGTTCGACGCTGAGAAGACGGTTCTTCGTTCGCAAATCGCAGAGTAACAAGTAAGTCCTACCTCAATTTGACTTTTTTTTCAAATTAAGCAAAAACATTATATGAGTACTTGAGGTTCGCACGACAGTGAAAATGGCGATGTTAACCTTCTGGTCGTGACATGTTACACACGGGAGACCAACATCGGTGCAAAGTCTAAGAACCGAACGTGAATAGAAGCGACCCAGGATATTGACCGATCACTGAGACGCCCGATGCTTAGCTGTTTCGTAAAAGTTATCGCGGAAACATGAAATGGGAGGGAAACCTTAGATATTTACTTCTGATGTTAGTTAAGTTCATTGTGAGGGCCATTTATTGCTCTGTGGCCCATCTATCAAGATCTAATTCAGTATTTTCCAGGGTACTGTACTGTAAGAGGACTTTCAAAGCCCTGGCCATCTCGACATACGGACCTCATTCTGCTAGAATTTTGTTTAGGAAACTCAAATAAAATATAAAATAAAATGTTAAAATTAAATAGAAAACATAAGATGAAAATAACTCAGACAGTGCTATCTGTAACGTCAGATATTCTTGATCGGGAATGACCAGAATGTTTTTAATATAAATGTATCTTCGGTGATAACAAAGGTAAATTTCCGATTTGTATCATTTCGTGTTCATTCAGATTTCTAACATTTGTTATTAAAATGTAAAGTTTCGAACTAACACAGTAATTTTACGGAAATGCATTTCAATTACTCATTTACATTCATCCATTTCAAACATTTTCTTATAGGAATAACTGAATCAAATTAACTGGTTATTATCCAAGGTCAAGCATCTTGACAAAGAACTTGAATCTACTGCAGAAAGCCTTGACACATTTTACGGTTGTCAAAAGATAAGTAACGCAGCCGGACTTGTTCACTTAAACGGTCTACTAGAGAAATGCCAGCACTACCAGTACTCGATAGCATGGACAATAATGAAGAGAGAAAGGAGAAATTACACGTAGTTTTATAGTCTTAACCTTACTGCAGGACATTTCACTGTGTAAAAAACAAATCATGTCTGTAATGACTGATAAATTACAGTGCAAGTTTGTGAAAGTTGTTTCGATAATCACATTCTACGAATAAAAAGTGCATTATTTCATTTATTTTACTCAACTGCATATAATTAGCTGGCTGTCCATTGTATAGGATATCAAAAGTACTGAGTGGATTTAGATTAAATTTAGTATAAGGAAGAATTGGACCGTGTTAGGCGTGGACGAGAATAATTCGGTATTTATCACTAACTAAACTGAAAGCAAACATAACATTTGGACTACGTTTTCTCAAAAACAGCTCAAAGTTCAAAAGTATAGTATCGGTAAATTACATAACTTATCTCATTATGAACTACAAATTTTATATAAACACCTCCCAGTGCTAAGTATACTTAACGAAATAGGGACAAAATAACTATCCCAGAGTAACTTTATCGATAATATGAGTGAACCTGTGTATCTAACGAATATGGCCTACTGGTTTGGACCATCTTATCACAGAGAATTGATTTGGAAAGCTTGTACTCCATCACAGTTTCATTTTCCACTCTTTTTATTCCGGTTCTCCTGTGGAATTAAATTATTATAATTATTACACTGCTTGATTAATACATTTCTCCACCCCACTACGATCAATTGGCGAAAACATTCCTATCTGTCGATCACGTTAGTAATCCTAGTCAAATCTAGTCCAAACGTTTTCGAGCTATTAGATAACCATGCGTTTGAAGTATTAAAGATAATTTGTTAATCGTCTTATTAATACATATCATAAACGATTCATTAGAACAGACGTTGGTCTGATGATGTCATGGTTAACAATATTAATTTCCCATCTCGAAGAATACACAACGCGCCACTACCACAAATATCAAGTGGTTCATAACATTCTACACCAATGAAATCTTTTCCGTTCTTTTCTGTCATGTTTGGGTCCTTGCAAAGCGCCTATTAAAATCGCATTCTTCCTCCATCCGTGTGTATGCACGTACATCGACGAAGTCACATAAGATTTTCATGAAATTTGATAATGAAGATTTTAACTAAAATTTGTTGACACATGCGAATTTTGGTTGAAATGGAATAGCGACAATGGGCAGTTTATGTGGACACATAAGCTTTTATGCGTTTCTAAATTGCACAAAATTTGGTTAATCTCCAGGCGTTCACAAGGCTAAAATTTTTCCAAACGCACCAGAACTTTTAGGCCGTGTGTCCATTCATTAATTTGTTTCGTCTGCATTGCATTTATGATCAAATAGTTTGTCACTGATCTCAGGTCCTCTGCTTCTATGTTTCCTCTTGACAAAAATTAGTATTCTGATCCATATTATGTAGTTAACACTACCAGAAGTTATGAAATTATAAACGTTTTAGATAACATTACAATCTAATTTTTAATTAATATGTTTATAAGAACTGCTAGTCATTTATTCCCTTCAGAAATTTACTTCTAATTTCCCTGACTAAAAAAATACTAGTAAAAACGAGAAACTTAAGTGTGGCTGTTTATCATATTAAATTATATGTGACACATTATTACTTAAAAGGAGTGGCCGATAAATAAATACATACTGCAATATCTGATCAGGAAGTTCTGTTATTAAGTGGCATATTATGCAACTAGAGATTTGAAGACGTAATGAGAGACATTTCAAGGGTACGCAATGAAATTCAGACCCTGGGCAAGTGAAGTAAACAGGTTTAGAGCCGCGGATTATTTAATCGGTTAACAAAGTATTTTAGATTCACCTCGCATTCGCATAATGTTACGTACACGTAATTAGCAAATTTACGTAAAAGCTAATCCGAAATCCCGCTTACAGTTGAAACAACCACAACACGAGGTCTGAATTGGTAAAC